ATTAGAAAGGCTGCCTGCCCTCTGGCCTTTGTAGGTCTCCTAAGAACAGCCCCTGGGTCACGGAGCTCTCCCTTAGGCTGGGGCTCCCGGGGTGTGTGGCAGGGAAAAGGGGGCTACTAGCAGGGCGGAGGGGGCTACTGGCAGAGCCCACGGGGCTCCCCTACCCCCGTCAGGGACCGGCAAGTTCCTACGCGCCTTCCTACCCCGTGCCTCTAATGAAATTTATTTATCTAAAACATCTAGTAATAATGTAAATGGTTTTAATTGCCGCGTATTTAAGCCATCAAACCAGGCTAAAAAAAAAAAAAAATCTGTTAAAATTGGCCCCTTTCCAAGTCATTGACACCATCCAACCTATCCGAGCGGGGTGTCCAAATATGTTTTGATACTGGAGTTTTCAGTCTACCAGGTGAAATATCTCGCTAAACCCGGCTGCTTTTAGCGCCCCGGTCCCTTTCGTTTGCCTCACGTTTCCAATTCATTCAAAGAAAGAAGTTTTAGAAGTTTGGGGTTTAGGTTTGTCTTTTGAGCGGGAGGGAGAGAATAATGCATGCAAAATATTTAGTTACAACTTCTGCGAAAGTCACCGATCTGTAACAGCATTTTCTACTTTCACAAAGGATTTTCCTGTTACTTTTGTTCCGGTCACAAAATTAAAAAAAAAAAAAAAAGGCGAAAGAAAAAAAAAAAAAAGGAGAAAAAAACTTGGGGGAGAGATAAGGTCTGGAAAACAATCTGGAATTGCCAGGCTGTTGGTGGGAGCTCTGCGGGGCTGGCGTCAGGAAGTCTGCGCCGCCTTCTATTACTGTTGATCCAGCTTTGTGCAGCTGCACTCAGTACAATTAGCTTGTAGAAACAATCCTGCTGTAGGCAGCCTCTTCCCTTCAAAGTGCTTTTCTATACTGATCCCCTCACATCATGATGCTGGAAATCAAGTCACAAGCCGACCACTGTTTGGCCAACATCATCTGTGGGAATTCATTAACCTCCATCCCAGAGATGCAACAAGAGATTGTTTGTCCAGAACTAAACTTACAGCTTAATATGATGTAGCCCATACAGGAAAAAACCTGTGTCCCCATTTCTTTCTTTTTTTTTTTTTTTTGTCCATAACAAAAAACACTTTGTGCAGCTTTTTTTCTTTTTTTTTTTTTTTTTTTTTTTTCTTCTTCAGGGGGTGGGGAATGTAGCTGAAACCAGGCGCGAGCCGGCTCCTGCTAAAACTTTGCCATCAAACTGTTTTTTGGTTCATCGGGCTGCAGTTTCCATAGAAGCAACTTATCCCCGCGATCATCTTGTTGGGTGCACTTTGCAAGCTCATTTCCCGTCTGAGTTTGCTCTGCTGCTCTCAGATGCTGCAGCTGACACATTTCCTCCCCGTGCACTTTGCACCCACCTCATCCTTGCCCAGATGCTCAGGGCTGATTGTGCCTAAAAGGGGGTTTCATCGCACTCTGCAGCTGCCTTGGGGGAAGGGATTTTTTTTTTTTTTTTTAAATTATTTCTACTTTCCCTTGCTTCAGTGCTCAGCTCTGTGCCGTGCAAGCAGCAGGCCCCCCGTGTTCCCCCTGTCCCCAGCGCTGCAGTACTGGCTCGCAGGGACGTGGTTGCGGCCGCAAGCCCTCTGCCACGCGCCCGTCGCGTGCTGGGGTGTGTGAAGGCTGCTGGTGGCTCGTCCAGCCCCGGCCCGGTCCCGGTGGAGGGGAGCTACCTGTGGGACACCGCTGCTGTGCATCACCGGCTGGGGAGCGGGGCCCTGGTGCACCCCATCTGCGTGGGCAGCCCCGGAGCAGCAGCAGGGGGACATTTCCCAGCTCCCGGGGTTGTTCGTGAACAACTGTGCTGCTGGGAGCACAAGTCCTGCTTCTCTCGGGGCAGCAGGGCTGGCATCGCTGCTCCCCCTCACTTCCAGGTACCTCACTTGGCCGCGAGGATGCGTGGCGCGTTGCTTCCACCCACCCCACTCTGAACCCCTCTGCGTTCTTCTTCAGGGAACGTATGGATGAGCCTTCTCTGAGTCCCACTTCCAAGCTCCCCTCTTTCCTGGGCCGTATTTGCAAATGCCACGGATCTGCCAACTGTAAGATCTCGTTTCCTTTCCCCCCACTATGCTTTTAAATAGTGCTGCTTTTGTACAGTATCATTCCCTTCATCCCCACTTCTAAATGTCCCTCGTCTGCTGCTGTTGTATTCCCAAGCCGCGTGTTGTTGGAGGCTTGGGAAGCACAGTGACGAGATGTGCATCTTTTCTCATTTTTCCTAGACGTCTGCTTTTTGGCCAAAAGTGTTGGACTATAGGATGGACAAGCCTTTGCTCTGATTCAGTTTTGACATGCGTATCGTTTTATGATCGCACTCACACACTCTGCTCTTCTGCAGGAATGCCTTTTACTCAAACTGTATTTTCTAGCACCACCCTGCAAAACAGGGGTGTTTCTACATGAATTGTGTGGTTTTGCCGGGACATTTATATCAAGTCCCAATTCAGACACTTCAGTTCTACTGTTTTCTTCTGTTTTGTAGGGTTTCTCATTTCTGTAAGTAGGACCAGTGCCCTGAAGGCATTTCTACGTAAACTGCAAAGGGCTGTTGCTCACCTGATGCTACTGGAAGAAGGTTGCCATGAAATCTTTCTGAAAGCAGCATCTCTCTGGCATGGTAAGCGTTACCGGTGTGAGGTGTCTTAAATTCACGCATTAACTCTTACCTCTGCTCAAAAGCAAATACATTTCTGTTCTTTTTTAAAATCTGTAACTATTTTACTAATGTAATGTCTATATTTTAATTAAGTTACGTAACGTGTCTTCTAGAAGTGCTTATCGTGAACTGGTTAGATGGCTCTCTAACTTTAACGTGGTTGTGCTAAAATCTGGGATCAAACAAGTTCCCTTCTTAGTGCATGGTTTACATAGCAGATGGTTTTCATCTACCGTAGCTTTCCTAGTGATACCTTTAAACTGGTATAGGTCTAAAATGTTGCAAATTTTGCACTCCCCAATAATTCTCTGGAAAATCCATTTAGAATAGAAAAGGAAGAGGGGCCAGGCAGGAGGTTATTGACAGTACCTCGCATGCGCTAAGGAATAAACCAAGAAATAAAAAATGCACTTATTCTTTCTTTTTTTTAATTATCTGGCTGGTCCAGCTCCCCTCGGCCTCTCACTTTGGCCTGACTTTGATTTTTAGGTACAGGCCTGTGGGAATAAGATCGCAAAATGCTTGGCTTAATTTCACTGGAAAAAGGAGGGACTGGGAATTGGATTAGTGGGAGAAGATTTTGAAAATCTGTCACAGGTAAACACATTCCCCCCCCCCCCTTCAAACTGTACAATTACGATCATTTCAAGTATAGATGTGTTCGTATAGTATGCTCTGTGTGTTTGTTCTTGCTCAGTAACAATGTTTCATGAACATAGAGGAGAAATGGAGTCTGTACTGCGGCTGTCATCTACTTGTTGGCGAATCTCAGCATATCTGTAATCTCGCCTTCCTGTTCACTTCAGGCAGAATATCTCAGTTATGTGACGGAAAGCCCTGTAGTATTACGCAGGCAGTACTAATTCAGTGCTTTACCAAAGCTATCGTTACTGGTTATGTTGGGACAGGATTCTCAGTCCTTTTTAACGAACATATAGAGCAAAATTCTCTATGGTTGGGAGAGCCTAATTCCACTCAGCATTTGGATGCTGCAAGTGCAGTTTAGCAGAATGTGTGCACCACATCCCAAATGCTCCCAGGCTGTTAAAACTTTGCTTTATAGGCCCAGAATGAGCGTTATCTAGGTTAAGCTGACTTTCTTAGCGACTGTCGCCTGCATAAACCCACCTGGGAATCACAAAATAGGTACATGTCTAAACCTCTTGAGAGGCCTGGTCCAGGAGGTGTGCTCAGATCATGCTTAAATGCACATTGACAGCATGGAGCTCAGCGCAAAGCGCAGCAGCTGTAGCTGCCAGAAAGTTCAGGGGGAGAGAAGGAAAAGAACTGCTGCTTATACGCAATTTTTCTCGTGAGAGCACTTGCCCTGGAAGTGAGAGACTCGGATTCTGTGTTCTCCTCATCAGAGGTGATATAAACTCCCTCCTGCTCGCAAAGCGCCCCTAACGACCAGAGAAAAGATAAGGCTAAGGTGGAGGACACCCACCCATCCTGTTCAAGCTTGCCACAGTAAAGAAACACATGCAAATTTAAAAGGGCCAGAGGGATTATAAACAAGAGGGAGCCTGACGCTGTAGCTCGGGGGTAAAGGCATCTCCTGGATGGCAAGAAGCCTGAACGCTGGGCCTGGCCCATTCTTGAGGGTGAGGTTCATCTCTCCTTATCTTAGCTATTTAGAGGTTTGGTGTTTCGTCTTTCTATAGTCAAAGAGAACAAGAGACACCTGCAGAGAGTGATTCATTCTGCGCCTGTTCGACACCTCTCTCCGGATGGAATTAATCTCCTTGCTGGGGGCCATCGCTGCCCATCAATTCTTGGCAGAAGATAGATGACCAATTTTGACCAGAAGCCTCTCTTACAGATGCCAAGTGAGGTGTATTCCACCATAGATGACTGTTTTTTCTCATTCATCATACCCAATTTTCACCTTTAAAAACTGGGTATGTAATCAAAGGTCATCATTTGAGTTCTGTCTCTGGACCATTGTCATTCCTTCCGTTGGGAGGCTGGAGACAGATAGCTGGGGTGAATTGTCCTTGGATGATCTGTGTCTTTCTCCAAGCCTGTAGAGCCTAAAGGTCATGTGTGCCCCTAGTGTGCACTCGTGAATCCTGGCGCTGGGTGTCTGAAAGTTAAGTGTGGATCTATTAAATGTCATTGTGCAAACGTATTTTGTGGGTGGTCTAAGTGACTAGAGGCACTACATACTATTTTTAAGAGAGGAGCCAGCTGCATAAAAATGCATTATAAATGTCTGAAGATACAAAGAGGCTACAACTGGGATTTTCAGAACACTGAAAGGCTCCTTATTTAAATCAATGAAAGTGAAGTACTTTGGAAAATATCGAAAGTGTATACTGCAATTTACGCACTTGCATCCTCAGAAAAATCTGTCTGTAACTTCTAAAACCGGAGGTTGGGCGCCTTTAAAAATGTTACCTTTAATCCTAGCCCTGAAGAGGTAAGCCTGTAATTTTCAGTTTTGAAAAGCTATAGTTTTTTGGTTTTGATAATGTGAAGTAATGCTGAGGTGTGCTACAGGATAAATCCCAAATATGTACCTCATTATTTCGTCAGAGATGAGCGAAGGTTCACCCAGCCTTCTTATCAGATTTCAGGAGTGCAAGTGTTTTTTTGTGCTAGTCTAAGTTTGGTGCGCATATATTCTTTGCAAATGGACAATTGCAGGACAAGGCAAGCTATGTGTTTTTATAATTTAATATTTGTCAAAGGTCATCAAAGGGTTATGGCCAGTCATTTTGCCAAATTTAAACTGTGGAGGCAGTGGTGGACAGTAAGTGTCCAGCTTGGCGAAATTAAAGTCACATGTTCTCCTGATGGGTTTTTTGCTACAAATACAGTTGGAGATGATTCCACCACATTGTTCATGTCAATTGCTCTGTAAGGCTGAATGCCTTCAACTATTACAAAACACATGCTTGAGAAACCCTTCTACTTCTTTTATCAAAATACTGAAACTATATGTGCACCCAAGATGTTTAAATTTGGCAGCATAGAAGTAATTGGGGATGGACTCAAAATTAAATTGCTTAAGGCCTCAGGCTATTGTTTGCAGCAGAGACAAGAGGTCTGTAAACATTAAAAGGATGTGCAAACTTCTTGCAATATTTTCGGCCAAAACAAAACAGCTGGTTTATACCTAGCTGAAGATCTCAGTTGTTCTCCATTGAACAGTCAGAATTTGGACTTCTTTGCAGTTTCTTAATTTCCTGCCTTCTCAGTCTGCTTTGTCTTCAGTAGCAATAGTTTTGTGCTCCTTATTCTCTTTCACAGCTCTACAGGTCTCTTGGCTCTGGAGATGGGATTCACCTCACTTGACTTAAGGCATGTGTCTGGTTGATGTCTACACCTAAGCCTGTCTTTCAAGACTCCGTTTACAGACAACTGAGAAAATCATTGCTTCTGTGGTGACTTATTTCTTCCCAGTGCAGAAGTCTAAAAGACTTTAACTCCACCCTGATAACCCTTGACTTCTGAGTCCAGCTGTCCTTAGCCCAGCCAGTATATGGTTTAACTAGACACCCTGGTCTTGATGTGGATCATCTATGCCAGGGCTGGTTATCAGACTTCCTCAACAATTCTCCAAATTCTTTTTTGTGTGACTTGACACATTTTAATGAAAACACTTGACAGCGGTGAGAAAATGAGCAGTGACTAATATGCTTTCACCAAGAAGTTGTTCTGGCTGTGGTCTTGTGGACTACTGGGGATTTACAGGCCACGGTGTGTAACCTCTAGGCTAGGTGCTCGTAGTTGTAAGCTTTGTGCATTTGTACGCCATGGTTCAGCCTGTTGTTAGCTGTGGTACTCTTTAATTGCAGGACTGCTTATTTGTTTGCGGCATAGATGCGACTTACGTAGTGAGGGATGTTGCTTTCTGTGGGAGCCTTGCCTCAGTTATTGTAGAAGGTAGGCAAAGGGTTGTGAGAGAGGCAAAACGCTCCCATGAAACAGCTGAATTCCGCTGCGGAGGACTTAATTCAATTCATGCCTCTGCCACAAAGTTTTTTGTGAGATGATGGACAAGTCATTTACAGCAGACTTTTGTCAGGAGATCGTTTACCACATGGGAAGTCAATGGGAGTTGTTCTTAAATATCTAAAGTGTAATGAAATGCCAAGGACTCCGAAGTAACAGGTCCCATCTATCACAAGCTTGGCAGCCAGAACTAGAGTTATTAACCAGCACATTTTCTGGTCAGCTGCTTCACAAATGACCATTGGTTTAAAGTTAACAGCTTATATGTATTTTTTTTTCTCCTTGAAAAGGGAATATCCCTTTTGAGAGTAGGACAGAGTATATTCTAGTAAATGCGGGAAATGATTCTGAGTGGCAGAAGGTTATTGTAATAAGGGGCATTCCAGTCTCCTTTCCAGTAAGCTTTTCAGGGGCGCATAGATTGCTTTTAGCTCCTGCTCTCCAGCTGGCAACTCGCAAGGTGGTGCAGAGCCTGTAAGGTGGCTGCTGGGGACCAGGTGACGCAGATGGAGAAGGGAGAGAAGAAAGACAGCGCTGGGTCGGTTGGCTTGAGCATGATGGGGCTGGAGGACTGGGGAAAGTACCAGTCGCATCTGGATGAGGACTTGGAGCCGGAACAGGGAAGTCTAAGGATTAAAGGGGAACAGTGGAGAGAGAATTCAAGTTTCAGATCTCTATTCATTGCTTTAGGTTTCTTTCATTTGAAATGACAAGCCAAAATAAGCAACACCATCCAGAAAGTGAATGCTTCTGAAGAAGTTTCCTGTATTTCTGTCTCCTGTTACAGACAGGACAAGTTATGAAGTAAACTGCGGTGGTTTTAGCCCTAGCTAGATAAATTTCCTAGCTTATGGGAGATACAGGTTTGAGACTGATCCGATGAGGTCCTTATAACCCTCACACAAGAGACAGTCCAGAAGTACTGATTTGGGGCATTCACCTGGCGCAAGGGAAATTCTGAGCTGGAGTCTGAACTGGGAAGAAGGGGATATGAAGCCTTGGTTTTCGACAGGCCTTTTAAACATCACATCACTTCTGTGGGAATTTCCTGAGAAAATATTCAGGAGAATACTCTCAGTTTTCTTCTGAAGCATGACAGTAAGACTGCTGAAATCCTCAAAAGTTTCACAAGATGGGAAAAATAATTCTTCCTGTATCCATTCAGTATCATTTGGGGAACAGGATCTTTCTGTAGGATCCAGCATCACTTTAAAGACATATTTGATGTTCAAATTCTGAAGAATATTTGGGGGTATTTGACTATGTTTTCAGAAAGTATTTAGTACAGAGTGGCCATGTTCTGTTTCAATGGTTTTGTCTTTTTTTTTTTCTTAATGTGAGCTTCTGCTTTGTTTTCAATAGTTTGTATAGATTCTATCAAGGAAAAGCAAATGTCATGGGGAAGTTTTAGTTAAT